AATAACTAACAGTTGATCTCTAAGAATTAGCTTATTTTCTACTAACCAACAATTAGTTTAACAAAGCGTAATCCTCCACTAAATGGAAACCCAGTTATAACTATGCAGAACTTGAACTTATTAAGAGCTGGTGCAACAGCACCTCTAACAACCTGAGAGAGAAAACATATAGCTGTCGCCCTTGTTTCCGCTGCTTTTCTGTATTTTAATTCCACTAAAGTATTCCAATTTAGCACTACTGTGTGAAATCCAAAAAATACCTTTTTGTAGCAATCATGTCAGATAGTTGTGATAAATGCTTCAAGGTGGACTAAAATGGCTGCCGCTGCACATTGTAGCAGAAAAGTAATCTCATATGTCTGCGAGCCCACTGTGTTCTTAACATCTTAATTAGACTATTAAATTGCTGAGAGGTACAGTCTTTCTTATCCCGTTCTGAGAGACCAAGGATACGAAGCTGCTCAGAAAAAAACCCTGAATGGGAGCTGTAGCCTACTGAAATAAACATCAGATAAATCAGTCATCTCGCAGGTCTGTCTACAAGTCCGGCAAGTTTTAATGAATTAACTTTTTTAATTGGGCCATGTTTGGACAACCTCAGATCCCATCCGAGCTGATGCAGTTTTTTACCCTTGCTCGTAGCTCTGGCAACTCGATGGCCTTGCGTACATCTGAAGAGCTACTTCATCAGCACGCTCAATCAGATTCAGTTTTACACAAAAGTTTTAATTAGCGCTGTTTTTCTTAATCTGTGTGCCTTTTGTCAAAGTCATGAGAGAGATCGGGGCGAGATAGAGAGAAGCTGACGACTCGGTCCTCCCCTCCGTTTCCTCTTCCTCCTCGTCTTGTGTTTCGATGAGTCATCATCAGGTGACTGTGCCAGATTCTCATCAGCGCTCTGCACCTGCTGCTGCTTTATACACTGTTACTCTGACAAACACCAAAGATAATGAAGGTTGAAAGGTAGACGTAGCCTCTCCTCGCCAAAAATAACAACAACAACAACAGTGCCCAGTCTCATGGTGCATTTGGGTTGATGATGACATGTAGTCCGAATTAATTATCAGTTCATTTGAAAAGCTGAAAACAGATCTCTGGCTCCCTATTGACCTGCAAATAAAAATACTGTCATGAGGAGAATTTATTTGCTGAAACTGATGGTCAAAGCACCACAAAATATGCACAGACTTTGAAACATAGAAAGAAAACAAGTTCATAATCATTTTTAAACACCACAATAATAATGTTTTGACTAAGGAAGAGGTTAGAAAATCCTTCATTGGTGGAATAACCCTGATTTATAATCACAGCTTACAATGCTGTAATAATATTTCCTTCCTCTTTTCTGACATTGCCATGAGTGTCATTTTGCGGAAATATTGCAAAAGAGCATACAATAACTGGAAGGTTATTTTTCTTCTAAAGTACTTGGAAATGATTCACAACTAACATATCATTGATGAGTATTGAAATGCAACATATTATATAACCCATTATAAAGTTTTACGCCAAGACACTTCCTACATGGATTTTCTTCCACAGGTAAATGTACAAGACGATGCCTTGGAAAGAGGTCGGGGTACAGTGGAACCAAAGCGATGAGAACAGTAATGAGTGAGAGCAATCAGAATGAGTGAGCTGTGAACATTTTTAAATGGTTTTTCTTTTTTTGATGATGATGAGCAGGTCTTATCAAACAGACTGCAAGTCCATTTCAATTCAACAACCAGCACAAAGAAAAACCTTCACCAAACGGGGGACAACTCTCATCCGGACCGAGAGCGGAGCAGTAATTGGAAAGCTTAATTGGGGAGATGGCATCTTGTTAATTAAATTAGCAGCAAGAAAAAAAAAAGAGAAACTGCCAATTCATGACAATGTCATACAGTGACATAGAGAGGGAGAGAACGTGAAGAGAAAGAGATAGGGAGTGAGAAAAGCTGAAAGACACATGGAGAAGAAAAGAGCTGTAGACAGGCAGATATGAGTGTCCACAGCAGCTGAAGAGAGGAGAAGAGATGGACAAGAGGACTCGACTTGAATGAGGGATTGACTTATTTAAGAGGATAGGGGAGCTGGAGAGGAAATGTGAGGCCGTGAATGGATAAGGAGAAGGGACAGTGAAATAAAAAGGATGTACTGGCATTTAATATAGCCAATAAAGGATCATGTCAGAATGATTTCAAGGTTACTGTTTATATGCACATAGAACCGGCACATACCGGCACACAGACTCATGTACATACACCTATAGAGTGGAGGAGTGCAGCCCCTGCATCTCAAGGGGGGAAACCCCAGGGAGAAAGCTCATAGAAGATTACTGTTACAGCTAAGTGAACTGTGTCCTATTGCAAAGACATCAACGTCAAGATGTGTGTGTGTGTGTGTGTGTGTGTGTTGCATTTCCAGTGAGAGTTGTAACTATATTCAAAGTACTGTATGACCTCAACACAATCATAAAAAAAACATACACCTTTAGACAAATGTAATCAAAGTAATTTTACTCTCTATTTAACCTTCACTTTCTTATTCTGATGGAGTCTCTGCTTTTTGTTGACCTAAGTTACAGTAAGCTAACAAGGCCAGTCGTTATCTGAAAATAATGAAGACAGATGTTTTGAAAACCTTAACGAACAAAGTAAAAGTATTGAAGGGCTTTATAGTCAGGTAGAGGATTTGAAGTTTCGACATGTATAGTTTATGGTTACCACTCACCAAGTAGGACAATGCTGCAGTAGGTGGATATTGTTACACAGAAAAAAGTTAAAGGTCCCATGTCATGGCCATTTCTACTGATCATATTTCCATTGTTGAGGTATACTAGAAAATATTTAAATTGTTCAATGTTCCAAACTCACATTGGTTTCTCATACAGCATCTCTGTATAGTATGTGTATTCACCAGGTATTCACTCTCTGTCCTAAACAGCTTGTTGGAGCTCCTGCCCCCCCCCCCCCCCCCCCCCCCCTCCCTGTGAGCCCAGTGTGCTCTGATTTGTCGGGACGTTGCTGCTCGCCGCTGCTGCGAGGAGCAGACAGGTTTCCGGGTCGGCGATACAGCGAGACACAGCGAAACTCATCCTGAGCACACACAAACACTCACAGCCGAAGTAAAAACAATAAGTGTGGCTTGATATTGAGTAAGAAAAAGGCTTATAACGCTGTGAGAATGGGTCTGCAGAGAGCATTTCTCCGCAATCCCAACTCGTCTATTACCAGCGTTCAGGGAGCTCTATGCAAGTCAATGGGGACTCCCTGTTAGTTAGCCAAGGGATCCTGGTGTGTGAGGTGGTCCGCGGAGTGGTCCATTTGGGCCAATCCGGTCATTTGTTGTTGATTTGGGTGTTCACACGTCACAGAACCCAGGAAGAAAATAATGGAAAAAGATAAATCCACAACGAGGCGTTCTGGGGCAGCATCCATAGACAGGTCTTTTCTGTGTTAGAGTTTTACTCGCTACAGTGTGTACTTTGAGGGTTTTTGACTCTGCAGACCGTTTACATGCATAAAAACCTTCATAACACACAAGGGGACGGGCAATAACCGGAAAAGCATGACATGGGACCTTTAACTTTCTTTTTTAATGTTTCTGTACTAATTATTGTACCTGCTATTTGTTATTGTATACTTGTGTTATTTCAGGCCTGTTTTAATCATTAACTTATTTATTCTATTGTAAGAGCTAAATGTTTACCCATTTGCTCGGGCAAACTGGCATCAAATGTTGTGTTCCCACTATATATATTTTGTTCACATCCATTTTATTCTCTTTCCTGTTGTTTCCTCTATAGTCTTATACTGTACACATTCTCTCCTTAACTCACCTTCCTCTCTTATCTCTCTCTTCCTTTACTCCCCCATTGCCCTCATACTTAATATCTGTCACCTCTCTGTGACTGTCTGTCTTTCTATCCCTTCCTCTTTTCCCTCTCCTTTCCCGTCCCCACATCCCTCCAGCCTCCTTTGTCCCTGTCTATCAAAAGAGTGCTTCTTCAATAGTAGGATGCTGCTGCATAACAGTAACCATTATGCAAATCTATCATTTATTCAGTGTATCAAAAAAAGCTTTCTTTGTCAGGGTCAGAACAAATCTCCATTGGGTGATATTCATAAGAAAGGAAAGAGTAGATATAGTTAATTAAAAAAAAAATGTTTACGCATGTGTGACATTTTTATAAAACCCAATTTCATTAGTTTTGTTATGTTCTATCCCATAGAAAGTGAATATACTGCATTTAGTAGCCATAAAAGCTTTGCAATTTTGATGATTTTCCGGTGGCACTTTTTTTTTCAAATAACAGTGTATCAAATCAAAATGTAAAAGGGAGCACTCGTAGGGATGAAGCTTTAGAGGACTAACGCCTGAATCTGCAGCTCTTCTCTCCACACAGAGCTTATAATAACTTTCAGCTCATTGTATACCTGGCCCACAACTTTACTCTTCTGCTTTAGTCCCACAGTTCCTATTGTATACTGTCATGTTCAGAGATGGAGTCGTTACTCAAAAAAAGCAATATATTACATATTACTTTTAAAAAAAAAGCAATATATTACACTACTTCGTTACTCTCTACATAAAGTAAGTTACTTTACTCGTTACTTTACTCGCTACTTTACTCGCAGGGCCGGCCCGCCCCTCCCTGCAGGCAGATCACGCAGACTGCTAAAGTTTCAAATGTTCTCTTTAGTTCAGTTTCCATTGTCGCATAAGACTGATCCAGATCCTGAATGTTTTCCTATCTGACCATGCTCCTGCTATCTGTATATTTTGCGCAGTCTATCTCTGCTCACGCTGTTGCGTCGGCGTGTTCTCCTACGTGTTGGCCATGTGTTGCACTGGAACCAGACACCGCAAAGACTTCAGCCGAGCCCGTACGAACTGCGCATGCGTGAGTGGCAATAACTCTCCTTACCAGCAGGCGGCGGTAGTGTGTATTCGTCATTCAAAACAGGCAACAACCGGAAAACAGAGAAGAAGAACTACGTGATATAAACAAACAACAAATAGCTGTTTGTTAGCTTCACCTTAGCATGTGTTCTTTGCAGGTGTTTGTTGAGGTTTGATGACTGATTTTAGTAAGTAACGAAGTAACGCGTGTCGGGGCAATGTTAGTAACTGTAGTGTGTGTAACATATTGGTGAATACAAGATCTTTGATTACAGAGATCACGTGGATGACGTAAGGCATGTGTGCATATTACGCGCCAGTGGAAATAAAGATGGACACTCGGATTGAAAGAAGTGGTCCGCTTCATCTGTTTATGTAAACACTTACATGTTCATAGAACAGAATAGTACATGGTGTCAGAGTTAGTTCATTTATCATCGACCTGACGACGGAAGATGGAGAACACAGGCATTCCAACACCACGAATGGACTGGGACTCGTCTAATCTGCCGGACGCATGGAGAAAGTTTCGGCAACATGTGCAGCTAATGTTTTCAGGCCCGCTACATGCTAAAGACGAGGAGGAAAAATGTAGCTATCTACTCCTATGGATTGGGGGAAAAGGCAGAGATGTTTTTTATACATGGACTCTCACAGAAGACCAAAGTAAGGTACTAAAAACGTACTATGACGGTTTTGAAGTTTATGTAACTCCGAAAGCAAATCCCATATTTGCGCGCTATACATTTCATGAAAAGATCCAAGGAGACAGTGAGAGTTTTGAACAACGCTGAAGTTGGCTTCCGATTCAGAGCATCCGATTCGGCAGTTAAGGGACATTTAATTTACAGCGCTGAGCGAACAATCCTCCGTGTTTGAACCTCTTAAATCGCTGCATAGCCGATTTATTTGGACTGGATTATCCCAGAAAGTCTAAAGATTCTTTATAACCCAGTTTGAGATTTGTGAAACCTTTATTCTATTTGTGAAAATTAAAAAAAGGGAGATTTCAGTGCTTTTTTCGCATCTTCACTACATTAGACCAGGTCCTGATCTAAAACCACTAGACCTACACTCATCAAATCCTGACTGGATTATCCCAGAGGGTCTAAAGATTCTTTATAACACAGTTTCAGATTTGTGAAATCTTTATTCTATTTGTGAAAATACAAACACAGGTGGAAGGCTGAGGTTGCTGCAGCAGATCAGGATCAGGAAGTGAACCTCCCAGCTGGGCAACCCTTTATGCCTTCTTGAGGCTCCGCCTCTAGATGGGCGGGCACAGACAGGACGACACTCCCAGTACCTACCAGAGGACAGCAAGGCAGGGAGCACAGACAGGCAGAAGGGGGAGGGGTCGTCACAACATGTTCTTTTGTTTTGTTTTATTGTTCTGTCTTTTTATTTATTTAAGTATTCCAGTAATGTATGTTGCATGTTTTAATTTGATTGTATTTACTTGTTTAAATTAAATTTGTTTTAGGTTCACTTGTAAAATCTGTCCAGGGACAACAGATGAAAAATAGCCTCTTGGCACATTGACAGGAATGTTAATTAATGTGCACTGTCCCTGTTAAACAAATGAATACATAAATACAAATACAAATAAGTGTATGCTCCTCATTTAGGTGATAATTCTTTATCTACAAAGTGTTCGTATCTTAAATACTGTTTCATAGCAAACAAAAAAATGAAAGAGATGTTAAAGGAATTCAGGTTCATGAGATAAAGAAAAAGGCTAACCTTCAGTCTTTCATCCACTTTGAACAGCTTCTGCTGCTTTGTCCTAAAGCAAAATATGAATAGCAATTATTTTTACCAAAGTGTTATTTACTAATCTTGTAATGTTTTTCACATTCCAAGCAATCACTCAAGATGACATACTGTAATTAGGCAAAGCTTGTTGCTTAAAGTAAACTTGAACAATGCTGGTTATAGACTATATTTAATTTCCTGTTGAAATGTTTTGCCTGCAACTGTAAATAAATTAAGTTTATATAAGTATACCTACTTATCTGTTGAATTTTTATTTGCAACACAAAATTATAATACATTTGAGAAGTAAAGACTTTATTCTTCCTTAATTAGCTGTCCATACTTACCCGATTTGATGAGTGTAGGTCTAGTGGTTTCAGATCAGGACCTGGTCTAATGTGGTCAGGATGCGAAAAAAGCACTGAAATCTCCCTTGTTTGTATTTTCACAAATAGAATAAAGGTTTCACAAATCTCAAACTGTGTTATAAAGAATCTTTAGCCTCTGTGGGATAATCCAGTCCAGATTTGACGAGTGTAGGTCTAGTGGTTTTAGATCAGGACCTGGTCTACATGTAAAAAAGCACTGAAATCTCCCTTGTTTGTATTTTCACAAATAGAATAAAGGTTTCACAAATCTCAAACTGGGTTATAAAGAATCTTTAGACCCTCTGGGATAATCCAGTCCAGATTTGATGAGTCTAGGTATAGTGGTTTTAGATCAGGACCTGGTCTAATGTGGTCAGGATGCGAAAAAAGCACTGAAATCTCCCTTGTTTGTATTTTCACAAATAGAATAAAGGTTTCACAAATCTCAAACTGGGTTATAAAGAATCTTTAGACTCTCTGGGATAATCCAGTCCAGATAAATCGGCTATGCAGCGATTTAAGAGGTTCAAACACGGAGAATTGTTCGCTCAGCGCTGTAAATTAAATGTCCCTTAACTTTCCCCTTAACTGCCGAATCGGATGCTCTGAATCGGAAGCCAACTTCAGCGGCGTGAGTTTTGACCAGTTTGTAACGGAGCTAAAATTGCTAAGTAAAGACTGCAACTACCCAAACAGTGAGGAAATGATTAGAGACAGGATTGTCTTTGCTACAAACTCACAAAGAGTGCGCAAAAAACTGCTATGTCACGGTCCAGACTTGACGCTAGAGAAAGCCATTGACATTGCACGTTCACATGAGCTATCACAGCAGCAGCTAAAGACAATGCTAACCCCTGCTGCTAGCCACGACAGTCGCTCTGCTCACGCGGTTAGCAGAAAACCTTTTAGAGCAGACCAAGCATCCCGTGGGCACAAGACAACATGGAATGATCGTAACAGCGCCGTGAGGAGCAAGGAATGTGGAGCATGCGGGAGGGACCACAGTCGCACTGAGGAATGTCCAGCAAAGGGTCGCCAATGCAGCAAATGCAAGAAGCCCAACCACTTTGCTAAAGTGTGTAGGTCACAAACACAGCAGCCACAGACGAGATATAATCCCAGCAAATTGCATACCATCTCAAACAGTGCAGAACAGTCACTAGAAGAACTCTATATTGATGCTATCATAAAAGAGCATGAAAACACAGATAGAGAACAGGCATATGCAGAAGTAGAAATAGGAAAAACGAGGAACAAACTGAAGTTTAAAATGGACACTGGTGCTCAGTATTATACCAGCAGACACATTCCGCAAGATATATGGAAGTGTAATACTAGGCCCCCCATCAAGCAAACTCTCAGATTATGGTGGGCACAGGATAAAAGCAGAAGGAACATGTAGACTGACATGTAAACATGGTGAGAAAACAGCCATGGTAGGTTTTGACATAGTCCATACAAATGCTCCACCTCTGTTAGGCTTAAGAGCATGTCTAGATTTAAACCTAGTCAAAATGATACATGTAGTTGATGCAAAGCCGATAACGCACACAACCATGATGGAAGAGTTTGCTGATGTGTTTAAAGGCATCGGACTGTTTCCTGGAGAATGCAGTTTCCAACTTAAACCCTCTGTACTACCAGTGGTATGTCCACCTCGACGCATCCCATATGCTCTGCGTGACCGGCTCAAGGATGAGTTGGACGACATGGAAAAACTGGACGTTATCCAAAAAGTCACAGAGCCAACTGAATGGGTTAATGCACTAGTAGTGTTGGAAAAGCCGAAAACAAATAGGCTGAGAATATGCCTAGACCCCCGCGCCCTGAACAAAGCTATCCAAAGACCCCACTATCCACTCCCTACTCTAGATGACGTCACACCAAAACTGGCTGGAGCACAGTATTTCAGTGTACTAGATGCCAGATCTGGATACTGGAATATAAAGCTCACACACGACTCATCTATGCTAACCACGTTCAACATGATCTACGGCAGGTACCGTTTCAAGAGACTGCCTTTTGGAATCATATCTGCACAGGATGAGTTCCAGAGGAGAGTGGATGAGGCCTATGAGGGGCTTCCAGGCGTTGCCGCCATCGTAGATGACATCATAGTCTACGGCCGCACCAAAGAGGAGCACGACGCCAGCCTGCGTGCCATGCTGGAGAGAACCAGAGAAAAAGGCATAAAGCTGAATAAGGACAAGTGCAAAATCTGTGTGCCTGAGGTAAGCTATTTTGGGCACAAGCTGACAAGAGAAGGCATCTGCCCTGACCCGAACAAGAATAAGGCCATCAAAGAAATGCCTAACCCACAAAGCAAGGCAGAGTTGGAGACCATACTGGGCATGGTCACTTACCTTTCCAGGTTCGCCCCGAGAATGTCAGAGGCAACAGCTCCACTCCGGCAACTGTTAAAGGAAAACTGTGAGTTTGTGTGAGACTCAAATCATGATGCAGCCTTTCAACGAGTAAAAGACATCCTAACACAGGAGCCTGGCCCAGTACTCACCTACTTCGATCACACAAAGGATGTGAAGTTACAAGTCGATGCTTCCAAACACGGCTTAGGAGCTGTCCTGCTCCAGGAAGAGAAACCAGTCGCATACGCATCAAAGACACTGACTGAAACTGAAGAGAACTATGCTCAGATCGAAAAGGAGCTATATGCAGTGCTCTTTGGATGTAGGCGGTTTCACCAATACCTGTACGGACGACAGGGGTGATCGTCGAGTCAGATCATAAGCCACTTGAGTCAATCATGCGTAAGCCCTTAGCAGCTGCACCACCACGTCTGCAACTCATGATACTGCAGCTACAGAGATATGACATCACTATCGAGCACAAACCAGGAAAACAAATCCCTGTCGCAGACACTCTATCCAGAAAGCCACTTGAGTGTTACGACCGCTCCATCAGTGAGGGCATGGACTACCAAATACACACTGTGATCAGCAACGCTCCGGTAAGCGACCGCAAAATGGCAGAGATCAGAGCCGCTACAGCCAAAGATGAGCAGCTCTCAGTGCTGAGACAGGTGATCCAAGCAGGGTGGCCCGAGAAAATCAAAAAATGTCCACCTGCAGTCTCAGAGTATTGGAATCATAGGGATGAGATAGAGACAGATGGCATCCTACTGAAAGGAGAGAAAATCATCGTGCCGCACTCACTCAGGGCTGAAATGCTTTCACGCATTCACACAGGACACTTAGGGATGGAAAAGTGCAAACAACGTGCAAGAGATGTGCTGTTCTGGCCAAGGATGGGTAAGCAGATAGAGACACTAGTAGGGACCTGCAGCGCCTGCCTTGAGCGACGCAGCTCACTCCCAAAAGAGCCTTTGATGTCACACCCAATCCCAGAACAACCTTGGCAGGTAATAGCCACTGATCTGTTCATATGGAACAGTACTGACTATGTAGTTGTAGTTGACTATTATAGTAGGTACTTTGAGGTAGAACAAATCACCAGCCTCACCTCCTCAGTAGTCATCCAAAAGCTGAAGGCCATGTTCGCTCGATTTGGAATACCACAGACACTAGTCAGCGATAATGGACCGTGCTACAGTTCTCAAGAGTTTAAAGCTTTTGCTCATGCATGGGACTTCAAGCATGTCACAAGCAGTCCTCTGTATCCACAGAGCAACGGGCTAGCAGAAAAAACAGTTCAGACTGCCAAAGCTCTCATGGACAAAGCACACGCTCAGAGAACTGACCTGTACCTCAGCTTGTTGGAGTATAGAAACACACCAGTGGATGGTTTGAAATCGCCAGCGCAGCTACTCATGAGCAAGCGTCTGCGCTCCATCCTTCCCACCACTGAAAAGCATCTACAACCAGAGCTTGCCTGTCGCAGCACCGTTCACAGCAGGAGAGAACAGTGCCAAACACGACAAAAACAATATTATGACAAGAATGCCAGATCACTGCCTGCACTACCAGTGGGAGCCACGATCCGCTTCCAGCTTCCAACTGGGACATGGAAACCTGCAACAGTAGTCGAGCCAGCAGGTACCCCGAGATCCTACAACATCTGCACGGACGGAGGTCACATTTTTCGGCGCAACAGGCGTCACCTTCTACAAACGTGTGAGAGTGACACAGATCAGGAGACTCCATCAGACGAGCAGTTGGAGCCTGAGGACACTAAGACTTTGCAGCAGGACACTGAGAAACAAACAGGCCCCAGAGAGCAATCACACATTGTTTACAATAAGATCACAAGATCAGGCCGCATAGTGAAGCCAAGAGATGTGTTAAATCTGTAAAAAAAAATGCAACACTTACAATGCACTGTGATTTTTATTTGTTTAGAAATTGAATTCAACAGTTTTGTTTCAGAAGCAGTACTACATGCTCTATTAGAATTATTTCTGGTCAACTGTTCAACAAGATAAGTTAAACTGCAGAAGTGTTTACTAAATGTTGATGTACCAGCCTTATAATATTCCCTCAGTGATAGAGTAATCACAATTAGTAGATATAGTGCCTCAAGATGTACATTTATTTTAAATGCATATGGTTATAATTTGTTATGGCAGCTATACTGTTCTTTTCTAAAGAAGGGGGATGTAACATCTTGGTGAATACAAGATCTTTGATTACAGAGATCACGTGGATGACGTAAGGTATGTGTGCATGTAATGCGCCAGTGGAAATAAAGATGGACACTCGGATTGAAAGAAGTGGTCCGCTTCATCTGTTTATGTAAACACTTACATGTTCATAGAACAGAATATTACAGTGTGATTACTGAATTACAAAAGTAGCGCATTACACTATTCCGTTACCGACAAAATAATATTATTACAGTAACGTTACTCCCAACGACTCATGTTGAAGCTTTAGCTCTGGAAACCCACCATACAGTAGCCTACCT